ACCACTAGAACTGCTTTCTCTCCCTACACGATGCTTTTATGATCCGGCATCCATCTATATATATAATTATATAGATATGTATATTTCTGTTAACTTATTGTTTTTTTTATATGAATGTTTTTGTTCAGTGCCCTGAGATGACTTCTGGGACTTAGCTCTATATAAATAAACTGAAATGAATTAAATTGATATGTATTGAACTGATATTATTAAAACTGCTTCTATTTATATTATTACTACTGCTACTGCTTCTACATCTACAAGTATATTTATAAATTATACTAATATTACAACAACTGCTACTACTGCTGCAAATAATGATACTAACATTACTACAGCTTGCACTTCTATCGCAATGACTACTTGTCCTACTACTGCTACCAGTAGTACTATTACAACAACTGCTGCTGCTACTACTACTACTACTACTACTACTACAACTTGTAATAATAATAATTATTATTATTAGTTTATTGCTGTTGTTGTTCTAAGTCAGCCAGAACAAGTACAGTTATATATAGAATAGAGTAAAATACAATAAAATAAAGGGATATGGTCTGAAGTGTCTCCAGTCTGTTCCTTTTTGTCCACTGATTCTGGGCTCAGCCTGCCACTCTGGCTCATGAAACATTAAGCAGCAGGTCTTGAGATGCTAATCAAAGTCAAAGTGAACATAAAGAAGATATTTCCATTTAACAGTTAAACCAAAGCAGTGGTCAGACTGAAAATGATGAAGGTCAGTTTCCATCATAATGAGCTGCTTTCATGTTGGATGTTTTTTTTTGTTTTTCACCCAGCAGAGTTAGGCTGACCAGTCGTTGTTATCTGTGGAAGACAAAGGGTTTGTTAAATCCAGCTCTGACACTCTTTAGCACTATTTTTGTCTTCCTGATAAACATAAACTTTATTTTTATCATCAGAAGATCACGCAACTACTGTGCACCAAGTTATTTCTTTGTGTGCACCTCACCCGTTTCCTTTTCTGCAGCTGTGGAGGAAGAATGTTAAACCTGAGCTGTGACATCCACACAGGATAGAAATCTGCTGATTTATGATTTGTTGATTCGTTGGCTCGGGATGCATTGCAGCCAGGGTGCCTCTGTGCGTCTCATTGGCCTTCGTGTGCACTCAAGTGTGCACTTTTTTACAAAAGTTTTTTTTGTTCCAACTCAGACACACTGGCTAAAACAGAGGACAGATGAAGAACTCCAGAATTTTCTGTGTGAAGTGATACAAATGAATGTCTTCTTGGGGGCAGGGAGTGGAGGAGGCCCACTTTTAGATTCTTTCACACTTTGAGTTGGAGAAACACAAATATTGTTTGGTGTATGTTCAAATATGTTGCTTTTTTGTGATTGCTAAAGAGGGTAATGACTTCTGAAGTTTCTTGGAAAATGAAATAATGTTAAATCAAATTTTAGCTAAATGCTAAATGTTGCAGAAATTAGTAAAATTCTGACAACAGAAAACTAAAATCAAAACAGAGACAAACTAAAATGAGCAGCACTATAGTAAAACTTAAAATTAGACTAAATACTAATAGTACAAAATTTAAATTTATGTTACTTTAAAATAAACTAAAGAGACACAAATGTGTTGGAGGAACAGGTTCACAAAGTATAATGTACTTTATAAAGTACTCCAGTGTGACTCTAAAGTACCACAAAATATGAAATGATCCAAACAGTTCAGTCATCAGGAGTTGTTTGTCAGCTTGAGGTGCTGGTCCAGTCTGAACTAACTCAGGTTTTTATTCCGGCTGTCGTCATACTCTCTGCTTATCAGACCTGCTCTCTGCTCGTTTGCTTCTGTCTGACTGGTTATTCTTCTGAAAATGGACATGTTATTCCCGTCGTGCTCAAAGGCAGAAGATGGAGCTGTGTTGAGAAAAGGCTAAATTATTATTTTGCAGTTATTACCTCACTCATTCCAACAATTTTCAGTCAGGTCCTTACCTCACTCATTGTTTTTAGGTCAGCGAATGCCAGTTTAATCCCACCACTGAACAGCAGCAGAGATCCTTAGTTTTTATAGTTGACACATTCAGACCAGTTAAACCAGATCAAAAACTTCAACAAACATTGGACCCAAACGATTCACATGTTACTGGCAGTCATTTTACTAATTTGTTTTATTTCAGGAAATCATTTCAGTCCACTTTTTATGATTTATTTTGCCTCTTTATTTGTCTTCTTCTGCTGTTCTGATGTCTCGCGTCATCTATGTGTGAGGTGCTCCATGAAGGATTGTTCCTCAGAGTCAAACAATTTGCACCCTGCACAGACATCTTGTTTTTGTAAGATGATTTCATTGATGTACTCTATTTTAGATATTTAGCTGCATTTTCTCCTATTTTACATCAACGGTTCCCAAAGTTGGCGTAAGGACAGTGGAGTCCTTACTCCAACCTGGGGGATCTTAGTTGAGCTGCAGAAATTAAATAAAAATAAGAATAGATTCCTACACACATTTTTTGATTAGAATATATAAAAAAACATAACAATGATGGTCATGAATGGGGAACAATAGTATAAAACAAGTTTATTGTTTTTGTTTTGTCATTGTTGTCTTGTTTATTTACTGTCTAGCTGTTTGGATTTTCATTCTGTCTTCAAACTTGGCTAAGAACCACTGGTCTAAACGTCTTACTGGTCCAGTTAAAGTGTAAACAACCATACAGCCACCATAATGTCTGTGTTGGAATAAAACAAGAACAGATGGAATAAGTTTGATCCATTTGTTTATGTTTTGCACTTGAAATTACATTTCAGCTGTTTCGCTCTGACCTCTGACATGTTTTGGTTTTGCAATATTTGTATTTTTAGTTTTTGGCAGCAGCAGTTAAAACTTTGTATTTATTTAATGCAAAAAGCAGAAATAAAGAAACTTGGAGTCATATTACAGATAAAACATTAATACTTTGTTTAATTAAAAACAATTAATCTCAAACCTTAAACAAACTTTATGCTGCACGTGAACATGTCACGAATGACTCTCATTTACTACCACACCAATAATTATTACTTTATGCAAGTTTCACAGATCAAATATCTGCGGCGGGCGATCACAAACACAAAGTGACGTCATGTTCGAAGCTTCTTTTTTAAAACATTATTATTATTAATCTGTTTGTTTTTAATACATTTGGAAACGTAAACATCACATTTTATTCGCTAAAAGGTTGGAGGATTAAATCAAATGTCCACGTGAGCGGATCTAAACCCAGAATAAAAACTGCACGTGATGATCCTCTCTGCTGAGGGTTGTGCACGAGATAAGGACAAAAAATATGTGCGGTGAGTGAAACCCATGGAGGCCGCGAGCCGGTCACTCCCGGGCCACGCAGAGTTCAAAGGGTCACGAGGACATTGTCCACTTTGTCTGGATGAAGTGTGTGTGTGTGTGTGTGTGTGTCTGGCTGCATGGCATGTCAACTTTCTCCCCTCTGGTCTCTTCATTAATTAGGTCAGCTCGAGCCGCTTCCCCTGCGGACAACCGTGCGCGCGCCTCCACCCGTCCTGTTCGCGCGCCTCACGTTTCTCCCGCTAGGAGGTTTCTGGGTGTCCGAGCCCAACACGCACGGAATATGACCTGTTTAAATCGATAAACTGCTAAATTAAATTGTTTTTGGTTTTTTTGGACCCATTCCGCCCCCCCCCCCCCCCCCCCACACACAAAAAGGGGGGGGGGGGGGAGAGGAAAAAAAATAAAATTTCACCATTCACTTCTATACACTTTATTGGACATTTCTTGCCGACACTACTTGACAACAACAGTAATAAATTTAAAATGTTGTAAAATGTACACGACCTGGACATTTGTAGGTAGTTCGAAGATTAAACCTCAACGCGCTCCTTCTAACAGCGCCAACATCTGGATCACCCGACCCGGAAAAGGATTTCCTATTTTCCACACAAACTATTATTTTATTTTTCTTCTTCTTTTATTTATTGTTTCTCTCCTGCATCATTCAGAAACATCAGAAGCTACAATTACGCATGTTCCTCCAAAGCCAATCTGCAAGTGTTTTTGCTTGATTAGACTCGTAAACACAAGCAGGAAGTAACAAAACAAAGAAAACTGTCTCAAATACAAAAGTAGTGCTTCTACATCTTACAACTAATAAAACTAATAAAACGGAAATAAAAGAGTGGAGCTTCTCAGAAAGCTTCAGGGAAAAGGAAACAAAAACAGTCCCCCCCCCCCCCCCACACACACACACACACACACACAACTGGCCTTTAATACGTGACATTAAATTACTTTCTTCTGTCTGCTACTGATGCATATACTGGCATCAATGCAAAGAAGAAACAAATATTACAATTTTATAAGTTTCTGGAAGCCATAAAAAGACAATAGATGTTTTTAGGCTTGGAGCTGGGGGGGGGGGGGGGGGGGGGGTTCCTTGTTGCAATTTGAGAAGTTTTGAAATTTGTGATTTAAAAATAATAAAAATAATAAATAAAAAAAACTACTGTCTGTTTTTCATTCTACATAAAATAATGTGTCATACTGGAGGAAGTCAGGCTGTGATGGTTCAGTGAATGAAACCTTAGAGAAGTGAAACATTTTATATTTTATCTAATTGTACCACTAATCTTTAGCTAAATCACCTTCAAAATAAAATGTGTAAGTAGTAAATAAAATACTCTGTTAAAGTTTGAACAAGTTTTTTGAGATTTGAGCCTTCAAAACACACAAATTGCACAAACAATTCCTCCAAACCTGCATGAGAAGCAGCAGCTGGGAGGCTTGTGGTGGTTTCTAACGTGCGTGTTTTGACTGTGCAGTCAGAGAAGGCTGAGGGTTCACAACAAAGTCCACCTAGTCTGCACGAGGAGGGCAAATCTCACCCCCGCGCGTGCTTTGTTAGCTGCTCTTCCTCCTTTAACCGTCCCGTCAGTTTTTAGTTGAAATCAGTCCGTCGGTTTCTCCTCTTCATCAGTCCCGTTCACCGTGGAGGAAGAGGAGGAAGAGGATGAGTTGATCAGCTTGTTCTCTTTCTTCCACTTCATCCTCCGGTTCTGGAACCAGATCTTGATCTGTCGCTCTGTCAGGCAGAGCGCGTGCGCGATCTCGATGCGCCGCCGCCGCGTCAGGTACCTGTTGAAGTGGAACTCCTTCTCCAGCTCCAGGGTCTGGTACCGTGTGTAGGTCTGCCGCCCACGCCGCCCGGGGCTGCCGAAACTTCCTGTGGGAGTCAAGAATCATAAAATATCCGGTTTAGGTTTGTGAGGTGCTTTAATGTGACCCTGAAGACCCAAGACCCGGTCTGGAACCGAGGACGAACTGTTCTGTCCCTGACTTCATGCACCGTGCTTTTATTCTGGAGCCTGTCTTCCTCCATGTGAACTTCCGGCTCGGACGGCCTGCACCAAACTCCAGTCTGTCCACGTTTATCTTGCAGGATGGTTTGCACCCAAACTGTAAAATACATCATGAGGCCAATTTCATTGATTTTAACAGAAAACTCACTTTAGAAAAGTTTTATCGATAAAAAAAAACAACAAAAAAAAAAACAACAACATATTAATTGTTTGTTCCAGAGTTTGTAAAACCTTTGTAATTTGCTCGATCATCACATTTGTTGCTGCACGAGCAACCCCCCCCCCCCCCCCCCACACACACACACACACTTACACACCTCCAACTTTCTGCTTTTTTAAATCAAACATTAACAGAATAACTCACTCGCTTCTCCCTAAATTCATTTTAATGCATTATGGATTAAAGAAGTCAAATAAATGAACTAAAGAAATAAATATAAAGTATCTTTCCTGAGGAAAGACTTCATTATTATTATTACTATTATTACTATAATAATAATAATATAACAATTATTATTATTATATTATTATTATTATTATTATTATTATTATTATTATTATTATTATTATTATGTTGCACAACTAAATGTGAACTCGGCGCCTAAACACTGAACCAGAACCCGTGGTTCTGTTCTCCTGGTTCCCCACACACATGTCCTTGCCTCCCCGCTCCGTGTCAGTCAGCAGGTCACGCGCACTGAAACCAAGCCGCTTTATGATGGACAATAAAACACCGTTCATGACTGACTGACATGCCAACAAACGGCGCGTGAGTTTGTGTCTTCAGCGGGGGAGAGATGCGCACACTCACCGTTGCACGCGTTCATCCTCTGCATCCACGGATAAATGGGGGTAGATGTTTGCTTGTCATCCATGGTGTCCACGAACAGCCCCTTCCCTGCGAGCCCCCCACAGTCCAGCTTCCGGTGCATGCCGTCCTGGCTCACAGCGAGTTCCTCCAGGCTGCTCGGCTCCTTGTCCCGGTAGAAGTTCGTGGCTGCCGCTGCAGCAGCGGCGACGTAGTCGCAGGCGGCGGCTCCGGCTGCCCCCCCGACGACTCCCACCCCCGCCCGGTGCCCGCTGTACGCGCCGCCCGCCGCCTGCTGGTAAATGGAACCGGGGTAGGCTTTGTCCGCTCCGCCCGCGCTGTACGCCACGGCCGCCGCGCCCGTGTAGTGTCTGAGCGGGTGGTCAGTGTACCCCGAAGAATACAGCGAGATCTGACCCAGGAAGGGGGGGTCCGCCGCCGCCTGGCCGCCTCCACCCGCCCCGGGAATGAAAGAGGAGTTTACAAAGTATGAACTCATTGGTGTCACAAAAACACAGACAGTGGGAGAGGAGAAGAGGGGAGGACAGGAGGGCACGGATCAAACACAACAGCAGGGATGAAGCAGTAGAAAGGAGAAGGAGGAGTAGAAAGAGTCTAACGGCTCCCGGCTCTCCCTCCTGGCCTCCTTCTTCTGCACTTTATGATTTGTTGTGTTTTATAGCCGACAGTCCGACAAGCTGCTGCTATCACGGAGTTTATCCACGGGGGGGGGGGGGGGGGGGTCGGGGTGGTCTGGGGCCCGGGGGGGGGGGGTGAAGGTGGGGTGGGGTCTGTAACGGTGTGTTTGTGTGTGTGTGTACCGGGATAAGGAGGGGGACCAGCTGACCACAGACTGACCAATAGGAAGCCTCCGTGCTTGGCATCAGTTCACCCTCTTATATTCCTTTTCGTTAGAGAGAGGAAAAGGAAGAGGAAGAAAGGAGAAGAAGAGTT